CCTATCCCACTAATTCAGAAGGATGCCATAGTTAATAGCTAATAATATTGAAGGCCAAAGGGTCAAGTAGAACAAAGATGCTTATTTTTATTTGTTCATCCAGTTTATATGGCTGCCCATCTCAACAAGTGACAATGCATTATTCCATCCCATTCCCATTAGAGGTCATTCACAAGCGTAACCAATCCTGTTTCAGTGAATCTTCCAGGTTACAATTCAGATCACAGATTTTCTTCACATTATCATACACTATAAAGAACTTGCAGTTGGGTAAAGAATCTTCCATTACGCTATCTGTACTTTAAGAAACTGTACAAGCAGTTATGTAAACATAAAGGTAGCAGAAATTATAGTAAGGAAACAGCTATCTAAGGTTATTATGAAACAACTTCTGAAGCTATTAAGAAAACCTGTATCTCTCAAGAACAAGTTACAAGGTTTTCCTCTTTTCCAGGAGCACATTATATGAATGTGCAGATGCTCATAAACAAAATGGAAAATGTACCTATACCTATACAAAGAAAGGAATGTTTCTAAGAAATAAATTAATAGTTCTGTAATGACTAACCGTATAATCTATTCTAAAACATCTTCCAAAAAAAAATTCTTTTTTAAATTCCAGAAATATCTAGGCAAAATCTAATCTTGTAGCCTTCTCATGAATAATTTTCTGATTTTGACTTTCACTTTTTAACTGAAGATCTTAAACTTTAAATGTTAAACATTAATCAAAAGCAAAACATCACAAATCTGGCTAGACATTTGCATAAGCACTGAGGCCCTTCTCTCATTTATTGTAATTCTATGAGGTACTAATTTGAATTGTACGTGAGAGGGAAATCCTGCAAATTGCTGGATCTTCAGTGGTTTCTACAATTTGCCTATATTTTAATATCCAAGATTTATAATAAAGGGAGAAACAGTTCCTTCCCACACTTTAATCCTATTTTTTCCAGTTACTTCTATTAATCTCAATGAAAAAGAAAAACATTTTCATCAGAGACCCTACAAAAACACATTTTTTAAAAAATACCGAGCAACTTTTATTTTATGTGACTGTATTTGCATCTGAAGTTCATAATTCTATAGCTGAATTGTCATCTCCAATATTGTTTTCTTAATCCAAAGCACCCACAATTTGTGTTGTTAAAATTCAGGAGCAATTGCTAACTTTCCTTCTTTTCCCAAAAGTAGGAAAAAAAGTGAGCTTTAACACAATTGTTTTGCTCTTTAAAAAGTCCTCTCCCACTGGACATATCTCTAACAAAATAATAAATTAAATCCAGCTATGGATTCATGAAAACCACATAATCCTCACTCTTGCAACACAAGTTGAAAGTAAACATGAGGCTTGGAGGCACATTATTTTACCAGAAAATGGAGATAAAAAAACCTTTACTGAAGTGAACAAGCTTGGTCCCACTGAATATCTTATGCAATGATGCAAGATTCTGATAACATGTACAAAATTAGTGTTTTAAAATGTTAATCTTAAACCTTTTGTGGGGAGGGAAAAGAGACATGGAGCCACCTAAATGGATAACAAAATTCAACCATAACTAATTTTAAAAATCTGTTTAATTATATCAAAAGCTGATTGCTTGGTTTTACTACAGTACAACAAAAATATGCAAGCTTCAAGTAGAAATAAGTTTATCATACTGAAACAAAATATAGCAAAGTGCAAACTAAAGAGGAAACACTACTGCTTTCCTCAAATTCCTCAAGAAAAATATATTTAAAATGCTATATTACAAATAAATACAACAAAGACTGAATCACCTCTTTGGTCCATATGTTTATAAAACAAACCAACTTAACCTGTTAATCTAAGTAATATTAAAAAGAATATCTAGAATGCCATTCGATACTATTTTTTTAAACTTAAGCTATGTTATTTGCTTTAAAAAAGGAAGGCCTGGAAGAGTTTTATTTTGAATTGTATGAATTTTTCAATTGTTCTCCAATTGTTGTTAATAACTCTGTTCATGTTCAAATACTGGTACTGCTGAAAAATTACACTGCACTTTTTCTTAAGAATGCTTGGTCCAAGTTGAAATAATTGTTCAAAGACATTTTTGGAGAACATCATAGATAGTTCTTTCACTTATTTTAGCAGCTGGCAATATTATGGTAGTACCATTCATACAAAAAAAAAAAAACATTTCACCCTGAACTACAGCACTCTAACATAAACTTACATGGAATTCATACACACTCATCCTTTTTAGAAGATGAAAATTTATCCTAGTATAATAAGCATTTTCCTTATAAATTATTTTCAAGACTGAATATAAAAGAATATTGCTATAAAACACACTTCCTTGGTTACTTCATTCCTGTTTTTTAATATATAAATCCATTTTTAAAGCAATAAATAACTATCACTGCAATCACTTTAAAATACAAGTTTGATGTATTCTGTTCAAAGGCATGGGAGGCCAGAAATGTCTTCACTAAATGGTATCTATTGTCTGTTCAAATGTGTATTTAAATATCCATTACTAAACAAGAACAGTAAGAAGTTCTATCCACCATCCTTTTATACAAAATAATAATAATCATAATCATATACAGTGATTTATCTACAAAACACTTCATCAGTTTAATCTTAGTAGGGGTTATCTATGATTGCCTCCTGTTGTAATTTTGCTTGTTTTTCTCATTAGATCCATTTTTAGATGGCAATGTTACAATAATACGTAACATATTCTGAGGACAATAAATGTATTGCAGTATTTTAACAAAAAGTGCATTTGTAGTATCATACAAATTATTCCCAGCCTAGTTTTAATACCAATAGAATTTGTTTTGTGAAAACTGTTGGTACTTTCATCTGATGAGGCAATCACAAACATAAGAAGCATCTGAGTTTCCAGCATAACAATGTTTCTGCATATAGCCCTAAAATCTTTATAATTAGCAATTTACAAATACAATCTATATAACTGTCTTTAGTTCTGGGGCCTGAGAATGTTTGCTTTGTAAAACCATTAGATTTATACAGTAACACTAAATATTAAACCAGTTTACATATAAACACAACAGCATTACATATACCATGTTTTGGTGCTCAAAAATATGGAAATTAAGATGAAGGATTCTTATGATAGAATATTGAAGAAATAATTTTCCGCAAACTGAACTAATTTTTAAAATCCTCATGGCTTGAAATGGCGTAATATTCTTCAATTGTGTTTGTTGTTGTCTTTTTAACAGGAACTTCCCTACCACATCCATTACAACATTGCCAAGCAGTAATCCATCAATAGACACAGAACAGCAGAAAAATGGAGAAACTAAAAAATTAGTTCTAATATACACTCAAGGCACTACTGCCCCCAAAATCATTTTATACTACTGTCTTCTTAATAAATAAATAAATACATAAATAAACAAACAAACATAAATAAATAAATAAATGTACCTTGGTATTTAAGGTTAAATTAGCTGCAACAAAATATATTAAATTCCCAGTATTTATGCTATTTCCACTGTCTTATGACTTTGATTCAGAGTGCAGGATGAGCACAAATTTTTTATTTGTGGCTACTGCGGAGATAGCTCTGCTGTCAAATGATGAAGTAGTTCCATATAGATTGATTCATTCTTGCTGGAACTGCCTACCATTGCGATCATAATGACAAAAAGATAAACAATAAATCTCTTTTAAACTCTTTTAAACTAAGATAAACCTTGATAATTAATATATTAATACATATGAATATAAATTGAGATTTTTACCACAACGTTTAGAAAAGCTCTGGAGCAAAGCATTGTACTCTCTAATTATTATTGCTGTGAGTATGATTCTATTATCATAACAATGTGACTGTCTTTTTATCTTTTTTAAAAAGATTTTTATATAGGCACAATACCTATTTTAATCTTAATTTTAAGATTAAATTCACACAGTACTTCCTTAATTGAAGAAAACACACACATACACAGACTTCCACTGTTAATATATCAGGGTTGTTTGTTCCAATTTCTAGCTAGAAATTCCACTTTTTAAGAAAGGAGCATAATGAACCAGTTGGGCAATGAAAGTACATAAGCTACTATGGTAAAACAGTGTGTTTTTCAGCCACTTGTACTCTCTTCCCAAAATTTTTTTTTCAAACACCAGCACATGCAGTTCAGGCTTGACAGCATAGGAAATCTATGAGTTAGGACAAAATACAATTTAATCACTTCTTCCTAATACTCACATTGGCCCATTAAGGTACTTTCTCTTCTTGGTATTCATTTCATAACATTTTATAATAAAGACAGCTGCAGTCACACCACTATTGGTTTTGTTGAAGCACACAAACAGAATGTATCTATTCAAAGCTAAGCTGATAAAAGTCACATATAATTGCTCCCAAGCTGTCTAAAAATTGGGAAAATTCTATGGAGATTCTCAATTGTCCAGATCATGGTTGTCCCAAAGATGCTTTTCAAAAGGCAACTGGACTTTTTTTTTTTTGGGGGGGGGGGGGGGGGGGGGTTTCCCTTGAAAACCCCAAGAAAGTCCAGATGCCTTTTGAAAAGTACTTTCAGGATAAAAATTAGGAAATTGAAAAGGAAATTAAACTGTCCTGTTTTTAAAATTATAACAGCTTACCAGAATAATTTTGTTCTGAATCACATACAAAAAGGTTTTTTTCCCCTTGCTTTTCTTTGTATCTGTCACAGTATAATCTGGTAAATGTGAGTTTTTCAAAACCCATGGTTTCCACTGGTCTTAATATTAGTGAATTCTTAATTTTAGAGAACATTAAAACTGGCTTTGTAATGGATCGTTTCATTAAAGACATTTCATTTTGTATTATTTGACCCATAAAACTTTTCAAAATCTGTATTGTGACTACAGTGTATTCCATAAATTATAAGGTCTGAAATGTATAGAAATAAATAACTGAAATTGGCTTTAGTGAATACAATGCACCTTAATAAACCAGTTCATAAAATGCTCTCATTTTGAATCAATAGCATTCATATCCTTATTAGAGCTTTGCTTCAGCTACTGAATCTGCTCACCTATAACATCAGTTCACAATTGTTTTGTTTCCACGGCCATGCTAATATTCTGTACTGAATGGGATTCAATTAATAATAAGCAAATATCTAGCTGCTGTACCTGAATTTTTAAAACTGTCTGCAGCATTCAATTACTACACATCTAAATGGTCACATTATAAATCTTTTTTTAAAATCAATTTCACATTTGGCACATTTATTCATTCTTCAGAAATGCCCCTGTATTTTCTTCAATACCATCACAATGATCACAACACCAACTGTTTGACTGATCAGCAGCTTCACAAGGTGGTTTATCTCAAGCTTCTCCTTAATGGATCACACCTTGCCTATGACAGAGGCACATTAGGTACAGTGTAGTAGGGTGTCATTTTTGGACCCTAGAGGAAAGCATTTTCCAAATGGATAGAACCTCTAGTTTGCAGTCCACATACCATGCATTTCCCTGGTAATTCCAATCCATCAGCTACTGAAGCCATTTCTGGAAAGCTTCACTGCAGACTGCTTCTTTTTATGCACAGCACTTTCATAAAAAATTCAAAATGTAGCAAGAAGATTCAAAGTGTTGCAAGAATCCTTGAAAATGAAATAATTATTGTCAGTACAGTCTGCCCAACTCCAAACACCAGTGCTTCCATGGGAGCCATGCTTTTCCCAGCCACTCTGTAAATTCCAGCTACTGCTGCACCTGAAAGGGACAAGGAAGACAATTATAATTGGAACCAAAGATTTTTATTCAAAAATCACCATACAGTCAATATGTAATGTTCCCTTCCTCTATACACAATTGATTTTATAACTCTTATCACACTGGACAGCAAGTACAGTATAATTCTATAATTTACTAAAATGTAAATGGACATTCTTCTATATTGTATTTAAGGATATTTAAGGAATGATCCAGCAAAAGTCAAACACTTTTTTCCATTCATTTGGGGAGAGATGTAAATATGTGTTCAGCTCCCCCATTTAGTGAGACTTAAAGTTCCCAACCCATGTAAGGAACTAATAATTAAAAGCCTACGCAAGACCGATGATAAAATAATCTAAAGGTTTAATTTATGATTGTTAAGTTGACTGCTGATGAAACATCCTAAAATAGAGCTCAATTCTGCAGTGATACTTCTAAGTTCTAAGATTTCTTTATTTATATACAGTCTAGACCAGGGGTATCAAACTGGATTTCCTTGAGGGTCAGATAAACATTGTAGTTCTCCTCTGTGGGCCAGCGGGGGGTGCGGGTGGAGTGGCCCATTTTTGGCCCATTTTTTTCAGCCGTTATTGGCCCGGTTTTTGGTCTGTTTTGGGCCCATTTCTGAGCTGTTTTTCAGGCAGTTTTGGCCAGCAGAGTGCTTCAGGAGGCCATGGAGGGTGAAAATGAGGCCCAGGGGGACTGCACGCAGCCTGTTTTAGCTGCTGGAAGCACCGTGGGCCAGTCCTTTCATATTTCCAGGCCGGCCCCGCAAGCCGGATTTAAGCACCCCGCAGGCCGGAACCAGCCCACAGGCCTTGAGTTTGATACCTCTGGTCTAGACCAATTTCCTTTGAACATTGATCCACTGTCTAATTGTTTCAAATGTTTAAACTTTATCAAGAATTCTGCCTAGAAAACAGGGGCAAAGTAACCCACCTTCTTCACTTGAATGCTATTCCACTTACAGCTAATGCATATGCTTAGTTCAACAGGGCACGCAGTAACCTCTATTCTCTCCTTTTACAATGAATTGGAATAGTGAGAAGTATTTCAATTTAATCAGCTTCCTATTTCAACTGAGCAGAAAATAAACTTTAAATCAAGGAAGAATCACAAAAGCAACTTTAGACCATAGTTTAATATACTGGATTGGTTCAAAGCTGGTAACCATACTATAAATAGTCTTTGGCTTATGACAGTTCATTTAATAATGGTTCAAATTTGCAACAGCCCCAGAAAAAATGATTTATAACCTGTTCTCAAAATTACAATTGATGCACCACCTCATGGTCATGTGATCCAATTTGGGTATTTGGCAACCAGCTCACATTTGCAACCAGTTGCAGCCTCCTGCAGTCACATGATTGCAATCTGCAACTTTCTCAGTTTCTGACAAGTAACGTCAACCGGGAAAGCTAGATTTGCTTAACAATCGCACAACTTGTTTAACAATCATGTGATTTGCTTAATGATTGTTATAAAAATGTTCATAACATCAGGTCCAGTCACACAATGACTTAATTAACAACTGCATTTCTAAGCAACCAAAATTCCGGTCCCAAGTGTAGTTGTAAGTTGAAAATTAGCTGTATTCTACTTGAAATAAACTAATTTTTCCCCCACAGAAAAGTGAATATTTTATTGATTTTTTCTTCTTCTAAAGGAAATAGGGCTCATTCTAATATAGTTATTGTTTAATTATCTGAAAAATAGTTTGATGTTTAATATAATTTTCCTTACAGAAAACTTTCATAAATTATTCTATCATTAGCATAAGATTAATCTATCTTTCTCACTCTAATTTACATGAACCTTTTCTGTAAGATGTTTGTTCTGATTTGAGCTTCTTTTTTGATATGAAGGTTTTAAAGATATAGAAAGTTTACTATATGTAAATAAAATCCTGTATGCACTGGATACTTTTTAAAGCAGTTATTGCTTCCTATTTAAAACAACAGCTGGCAGTAGCACTAATCACAATATGTGGATCCTCATAAGTACTGTAGATCTGATAGTCTTTATATTAAAGAAGCTACTTTGTGTGTGTGTGTGTGTGTGTGTACATAATTATTTAATTAAATCAAATGTGGCAGATAAGGACACTTCATTTTTATCACTCTACTTTTTAAAGAGAACCATACAAGTCAAATATACAAATAAGAACAAATCTTGGTTAATGAAATGGCTCCGTTATAACAAACTAAATGCATCATTCTTTTGTACTGCAAAGAAGACAGAACTGACTTCTTATCAAGTACAAATCTGATTGATAGCTTAATTTATTAAACCAAAATATCACAGACAAAAATCCAAAAAGCAAAAAGACAGCACATTGCTCAGAGTTATGTTATAAAGTATTTTTTACATTTCTGTGGCTATCTCAAAGAATGTATCAAAAACTGTGCATAGGGGAAAACACAATACTGAATAAATCATAACTAAATCATAATGAAAGTCCTCTATCATCTAGTTAATAAAGCCAATATCTATACAGCAAGTTATACTGTACAAAATGGTTACAAAGGCATTACACAGATTGTTGCTCCTAAAAAAAATTATGAAAATTTCTATAGGTAATATAAATCTACCACATAGGTACACACACAAAAAACTCATACATCTCATACATGGGTCCAAGCATTGCTTTCCGCCAAAAATAATTGTAAAAAACTCATGAGATCCCAATTGTTTTATGAGGAATGATTGCGCATCTCCTGGAATCAGTAAGCACTAGCTTGACAACTCCAAAAAATGCTACTTTTCATACGTCATTAGTAAATCATTAGGAATCTGGAAGTCATGGAAAGAAGCTAATGATGCAGCTGGCTCACATACAAGTGTCTAACTTGAGAGAACCACTGTACAGTACCTTCCACATTCATTAAGCAATTGTACTTTTTGGTTTTTTGGGGTCAGAGGGATATATTTATATATATATAAAAAAATGACGTGGGAAAATACCCGAACAAAGCTGAATACCATGTGTGTGTGTGTGTGTGTGTGTGTGTGTGTGTGTGTGTGTGTGTGT